TTTGCATTATTCAGACTATTATCGTCATCTTTGTCACCATATTTATTACAACGTTTCAGCCTTTCAGTATCTGTCTATATTTTGGAGATGAGGTATTATGTACATTATTTACATTATTCGGACTATTGTCCTCATCTTTGTCGTCATATGTGTCACAACGTTTCGGCCGTTGCACGCTCCAGCCTTCTTCAGCTGGTTGGAATTTCAAATTGAACCCTTTATTTTGCTCACTGGGGTAAACTGTTCTAGTTTCACGTGCCATGTTTGATGGATATCAGTTATCTCCTGCAAATTTCCCTCTGAAAGTTCTCCACTGCCTTAACCAGGTATTGAACTCACACTCTTTGGGTCCTGTCACTGGATCTAACCAACTCCTTTATCCATTGTGCCATGTGTCCTTATGGAACTAGAACAGTTTACCCCAGTGAGCGAAATAAAGGGTTCAGTTTGAGATTCCAACCACCTGAAGAAGGCCGGAGCGTACAACAGCCGAAACGTTGTGATAAATATGGCGACAAATCTGTGAATTTGTGTTTACATATATTGTTTGCTTGATTGATTGATATTATTTCACTTTTGTCCTTTTTCCTTTTTTACTGCAAACTTTGTTAATTCTGTTCGTTGGACAGTTCTGTTATTTATTTTGCATTTGACCATGTCTACTAACTCAGCAAGATGTACACGACTTTCCCAATGTGCATTACTGCAAAAGTGAATGCAACACACTAGATCATAATTTGAACTTGATGTACCAATTAGCTTTCCTACCCCAATAACTATGCACATATAATGTAAATAAATACTATCACTAAACAAATAGTTATATTATCAACAGAAATAGTCAAAGAAGCAGTGTAATGTCAACTAACAAGAATCCCATATTAAAAATTCAAACTGAAAGTCTTGGAAAAATCACTATGGGAAGAAAAGTTTATTTTGTAAGCAATTCTCTAGGCCTCGGCAAACTCTAATACCAATGATTCTTACCTAAATATCTCACCTTGGATCTACCATCAGGCACTATTTTTTATAGCTACTGTCTAACATTGCCCAGCATTCAGCCATTTTTAAAAAATTTTTTTTAATTACCACATCCCTTCAAGATGAAGGCAGTCATGGTTATCAATTACTTGAAAATTGTCATGACTTATTGGAAAATATATTTAAGTGGTTTCCCTATTTGTCACAGTCTTAAATTCAGAATAGTCCTTCTCAACTGGTTGCCATCAATGATTAAAGAACTCCATTTACCCTACCATTTAACCTATAGATGAGGAGAGATGGATTTGTGCCTTCATGAAGAGCATTTGTATGGAAAGTGAATCAAACAGTATGAGCCAGAATTTGATCTCAGCTCTCGAATTCCACTCTAATCCCAGATTAACACCCATGAAAAGCATATATTCAGTTACTTTTCAGTTCAGGTAACATGAGATGTTTCAGCTTCAGAGGAATGCAAACAATGGATTTAGTTCATTCTGAAGTGTATCAGGATGTGGCAGTATGAGGTTTTAGGCACATTTTAAGAAGTAGTAGTGGCAAATAACTTTGCTACTTTTTAGTAAGTGCTTAGTAATCCCTATCTCCAAAACAGTTAAAAAATAATAAAGTCTACCAGGTTTGAAAAAAAGATTATTGGTCTGTAGTATTCTTCAGTATTTTTATTCATTCATCAAAAGCATCAATACAATATTCACCATTGTATCACAATTCAAAATTTCTTTGCACCCAATGTTTCATAAACACAGGAAAAGAAGCAATATCACCAAAGTGGCTTGCTTGTTTTCTTCTATATGCTATTCAAGACATTGGTAATCATGGCTCTCCACAATTACCTTTCCTTTATAACTCTTAATAAATTTTTGTCTTTTTGTTATCTCTCCTAATCCATTTTACCAACAAGCTCATTAGGTAGGTTATGCGCTGTTTTCCTATGTCCCTCTTGCCTTTGACAATGCCTTGTATAATGGTTCTGAAGAGGCTGTTAATGCATGTGACATGACCCAACCATGCCATCTGCCAACATTTAATAGTGGCGAGGAGAGATCTTTTGACACAAGCTTGTTAGGTAGGTTATGCACTTTCCTCTATCCCTTTTGCCTTCCGTATGTCCTGTGAGTATCAAATTTTCTAAGCCCTCTTTCCTCATTATGTGCCCCTAAAATTTCTACTATCTCTTTCTAATGTTAAGTATTAGTGTCCTTTTTGTTTCCATTTTCTCATTGTCATTGTCTCATTTTGTCATTGCTTGTATGCTCGGTTCATGATATTCTCAGCATGCTTCTGTAGAATCACATTTCTATTTTTTTTTTTTTTTTTTTCAAGCGTTTCACCCCAAGCAAGGCGGAAAGCCACAAGCACGCAAGGGGTTACAGAGAGTTGGAGCAAGAGCAAATAGGAGTGATAGAGAAAAGGATGAAGAGAAGGATAGAGGATAGGTCAGGGCAACTGGAGACATCAATTGACATTACATTTGAATAGTTGGAGATTATAGCTATCAGGGAAACGAGAAAAGAGGAGGGAGTTTCACAGACAAGAGGTGCGAGACATGAAGCTATTAGAGTAGAAGAGAGGGCTACATTTAACAGTTTCGACAGTGAAAGGGTATGAGCGAGATGCCAGCCTAGTAGAACGCTTAAATTCATGAAGTCTGGGAAACAGCAAAGTTACCATGGAAGTATTTGTAAAAAAGGCAGAAGTTTCTTCTTCAGCATTCACTGCTATAAGGGAGAATATTTTGGGGCACCTTGAGGTGGTGTAGTGGTTAGCAAGCTTGTCTTGTTAGAACAATTACAACTGAGTAGTGAGTTCGATCCTCACTGGGTGCCTCCTACTCTCGGCCTTGTGCTACATCTAAGCTACACTTGGAAAATCACTATAGGAGAACTGATAATAGTTCAGTACTCCTTTCTTTGTTTCTAATGAAATTTTCCTATTTACATTATTCAGACTACTGTCCTCATCTTTGTCGCCATGTTTATCACAACGTTTCAGCCGTTGTACGCTCCAGCCTTCTTCAGGTGGTTGGAATATCGAACTGAACCCTTTCTTTTGCTCACTGGGGTAGACTGTTCTAGTTCCACATGCCAAGTCTAATGGATGTCAGTTATCCTGTTAATTCCCTTAACCAGGTATTGAACTCACACTCTTTGGGTCCTGTCACTGGATCTAACTAACGCCTTTATCCACTGTGCTATGTGTCCTTGAAGATACATGGCAAATGGCCGAAACATTGTGATAAACATGGTGACAAAGATGAGGACAATAGTCCGAATAAAGTACATAGTGTACATAATACCTCATCTCAGAAATATAGACAGATACTAAAATTTTCTTCTTAATACTTTACTTAGCTTTTGGAAAGCATCTTTCCCTTCAGATTTTGGTGTTGCATTTTCTATCCCCTGTTAAAATTCTTCCCAGATATTCAAATTTTTTTTTGATTTTTTGGTATCTCCAATTTGTGATTTTGGTATCTCAATAATTGTATGTATAACAAGTGTCTTTGTAATTCATATTGGGCTTTTCTACCCTACTTTGCTTAATTTTTGGCATTATAATAAGTGTCTAAAAATCATATTCAGTACTCTTTTCTTTGTATAATGAAGTGTTTCTTAATACTTTCTTAAATGCATTATAATTTGTCTAAATGTATTTCTCTCATATTCAGTACTCTTTTCTTTTTTCTAATGAAGTTTTTGTTTGGCTAATAAATGTATTTTCCTCATATTCAGTACTCTTTTCTTTGTTTCTTAATATTTCCTGTTTCTTAATACTTTTTATTTAGCTTTAGGATGGTGTGTCTAAATGTATTTGCTCTTCATATTCAGTACTCTTTTCTTTGTTTCTAATGAAGTTTTCCTGGCTTACTATTTAGGATGGCATTATAATAAGTGTCTAAATGGATATTCAGTACTTTTTTTTTTTTTCTAATGAAGTTTTCCTGACTTTGCTTAGCTTTTCATGTAGTTTTCCTGTTTCTTAATACTTTGCTTAGCTTTAGGATTATAAAGTGTCTAAATGTATTTGCTCCTCAATCCATTACAGTTTTCCTTATGCTTTTAGGATGGCTAAGTGTCTAAATGTATTTGCTCCTCATATTCAGAATCCTCTTTTCTTTGTTTCTCCTGTTTCTTCCAGCTTTAGGATGGGTCTAAATACTCTTTTCTTTTGTTTCATTTTCCTGGACAGACTGGTCTAAATGTATTTGTCCATATTATACTCCTTTGTTTTGGATGGCAACTGGTCTAGGATGGCATTATAATAAGTGTCTAAATATCTGAATTCAAACCTGCTTAAGAGGAGGATGGTGAATGGAGTCTCTATTGAGCCTTTGTTTCTTTGGCAATCCATTTAGTGTTGGTGTCATGATAAAACACCCATTGACAGCTAAGGTGCGAATCCTTTTCTTCTCCTCCCTATGGGTAAATAGCAGGACAGACTGGGGTCCTATAGCCTTGGATGGCAACTGGCTAGGAGAAGGAAAATCAAGAATTCTGAGCCTTATTTCCATTTAAGATTATGAACTACACCAATCAAAGTATTGGTGAGTTCAATTTCAAGATTCGGCACCAATCAAAGTATTGGTGAGTTCATAAGATGAATATTTTGCTTAGATTTAGCATGTCATTTTCCCTATCCCATTGTGCATTCGGATTTCAGTGTCACACTTTTCGTCCTCTTTTTAAACACTTCCCAGATATTTAAATTTTTGTAATTGCTTGATTTTGGTATCCCCAGTTTGTAATTTGCATGTTGGGCTGCCCCTTTTACTGACAACCATACATTCTGTCTTATTCCATGATGTAATGCATGCCAGTGCTGCCAACATTTTATTTAGAATTTGTGAAAAGCTCATGCTGTCAAATAATCGACATTTTATTTTTAATAAAAATGAAGGTGAACTGCAGATAATATTCGTACAAACTGTAGATTCAAAAGATAAAAATTGCATGAACATGTTATTGCCAGGGTTTGAATATATACAATAAGAAATATACCTTTTTGTTTACATCATCATAAGTCAAGGCCATAGAATCAGGATAAGTGGCATCATTCTTCGGGCATATTTGACTGTAAAAAATTAGAAAAAAAAAATTATCCTGTTAATATGACACTCACAAAGTTTATTCAAGATTACTCAAGTTACCTATACAAATCCTAACAGACATTGTTTCAATTTTGGGACAAGGGGTTGAATTATTGTTGCTCCAAAATTAAAGCATAAATTTATAAATCATTAGATCTTTTATAAATTGATTAGTTATAAATTTAAATAAGACATACATCTATGACACTTGTCAGCTACTTTTCAAGTATACCTGTTTTCAAAAAATAGCAAGCTAATCCCTGTTGCAGACACCTGCTCAGGCACATTTGTGCTTCTTCAATACCTACAGAATCTCTGTGTAGTTTTGTTGGATGTCCCCAAGGATTGATTAATTGATTTGCTTTATGGTAGTTCAAACCAGGTGGATCATTTAAGGCCGAAGAAGGTTAGGATGATATGCTTTTACCGATCGAGCCACAGAGGTTTAAAAACAGTAAAATCAATCTTGCTAACTAAAACGCTCCTCTGTGGCTCAATCTATGGTAAAAAAGAAAATATACATCAGGCCATATTATTATATCTAAAAGTTCCAAAAAAAGTACAAATGGGAAAATGTTTCATAATGCCTCGATAAAATATAGAATACAGGTTTGATTCCTGTCGGGGACAAAAATATTTTCTATGAAAATTTCTCAGACATTCAGGCTGATAAATGTACCTTAATAGTGTTTATTATAAACAGAGCATTTACTTAAATAATTGTATCTATGAAAATACATCATTTTGGTAAATAAAATTATAAAAAAGAAAATATATTCAAATAATTGTCAAAAAAAGCTCTAGAAGAATACTACTCTGTAAATGGAATTAAATTTATATCATATATATATATAAAATGCCATCTAAAACAAAATTCAAAAAAAAAAAGAGTACAAAATGGAAAAATGTTACTCATAATGCCTTTGGATGGATAAAATATAAGGAATGAATAAAGTGTTTTTGGGTTTTTTTTTCTGTCTACATAGGCTCAGCTGATGAAACTTAACCTATATATATATATATAGTAGAGGTAAAAGGTCTGTTGGTATAGAATAATGTTTTGGGTTTTTTTTCTGTAAAATGGAATTAAATTTATTAACAAATATAGTACTTTTGGATTGTTGGTATAATCCTATGTTTTTTGATGGTTCCTAGTAATGTAAATGGAATTAAAAAACTGATCCATATTAAAAAATTGCTCAATGTCTTTATTATAACAGAGCACATTATATATATAACATGGTAAAAAACAAAATTAACCTCAACATGGATGAATAATCTATTTAAAAATTGATCTGAACTGATGTGTTTTGGGTTTTTTTTTTTTTTCTGTAAAGCCACCTTCAGCTAACACTATGTTTTTGAAGAGACTATTAAAATTGCTCTAGAGAACTACTGATGTGTTTTTTTTTTTTTTTTCTGTAATGGTTCAGATCAACCTCTCTAGATTGGATGGATCATAATGCCATCTATGTTTTTTGATAGAGATGCTATTAAAAAATTGCTCTAGAAAAAAAAAAAAAAAAATTTATATACCTTGGATATTTGAACCCTTACTCCACTATCTATGTTTTTAAAAAAATTTAACATTAGATGGATATCTTTTGCCACATCATTTTGAATAAATAAAATTAAATTTTATTAAATAGTACTTTGGATGGATTTTATGCTAGAAAAACTGATGTTTTGGGTTTTTTTTTTTCAAATGGAATTAAATCATTTTTTTTTGTAAATGCTCTAGAATGAATTATTAAATTAAATTTAACACTGGATGGATGAACCTCACATAATGAATGTGGTTTTTTTTTTGGGTTTTTTTGAATCTATATGTTTTAAATGGGAATGTTTTAAATTTATTGCCATCTAGTGTTTTGGATTTTGATAAGCCATCTATGTTTTTGATAGATGCTATTAAAAATTGCTCTAGAAGAATACTGATGTGTTTTGGTTTTTTTTTTTTTTTCTGTAAATGGAATTAAATTTATTAACACTCTCTCTAGTACTTTGGATGGATGAATCCTTACATAATGCCATCTATGTTTTTGATAGAGATGCTATTAAAAATTGCTCTAGAAGAATACTGATGTGTTTTGGTTTTTTTTTTTTTCTGTAAATGGAATTAAAATTTATTAACTTTGGATGGATGAATCTCTCTCTAGTACTTTGGATGGATGAATCCTTACATAATGCCATCTATGTTTTTGATAGAGATGCTATTAAAAATTGCTCTAGAAGAATACTGATGTGTTTTGGGTTTTTTTTTTTTCTGTAAATGGAATTAAATTTATTAACACTCTCTCTAGTACTTTGGATGGATGAATCCTTACATAATGCCATCTATGTTTTTGATAGAGATGCTATTAAAAATTGCTCTAGAAGAATACTGATGTTTTGCTCTAGAAGAATACTGATGTTTTTTTTTTTTTCTGTAAATGGAATTAAATTTATTAACACTCTCTCTAGTACTTTGGATTTACATAATGCCATGTTTTGATGGATGATAGAGATGCTATTGCTCTAGAAGAATAAAATTGCTCTACTTTGGATGGATGAATACTGATGTTTTGGGTTTTTTTTTTCTGTAAATGGAATTAAATTTATTAACACTCTCTAGTACTTTGGATGGATGAATCCTTACATAATGCCATCTATGTTTTTGATAGAGATGCTATTAAAAATTTCTCTAGAAGAATACTGATGTTTTTTTTTGGGGAGGGGGTCTGTAAATGGAATTAAATTTATTAAACTATTGTGAGAAAATAGCAGTAAAGAGCATCAGATTATTTTTTGCATTTTTTCTTTTTATCTAAAAATCAAAGTTCCAGGTTCATAATTTGAAAGATTGTGAATTAGTCTCACAAGTCCAATGTCAAAAAATACTGAGGGCATAAATCAAAAGGGATAAAAAAAAAATCCATATCCACAATATACAGTCACCGTCTACAACCACAAAGATCAGGAAATCTCATCTGTGATCCAAAGCATTCTTTTATCAGAGTAAGAAAGGTTCTGACTAGTCAAGATTTGTAGGCAAATGCAAGCAATTAGTATATTTTGTGGCCAACTAAAGTAAACCAAGTCTTAATTTTAATTTTATTTTTCAACAGTCCACAGATTCTTTTACAAGGTAAAATTTTTTCTTCTTTATCATCGCAACTTATATGGCATAAGTGATACAAATGTGCTGTTGTGGCCTGTTAGGGGCCCGAAAGAAAAACATGGGAAGAAAAAGGTAGGTTAAACAAGTGCATTGAAATAACAGATATATACAAAGTAAGAGTGTGATTAGTCAGCAGATAGAAGTGTCCGTGCAAACTGTCAGGTTACACTGTGCTTTGACTGACTCCTGTAGTAAGTCTCACAAGTTGGTATTTACGAAAGGAGGAAGAGTCCATTCCCATGTAGGTCGGTACCATAACATGTGCGATCTTAACACTGTCTTTTTTTTTCTCCATTGTGGTGTGTAATAAACATGTGTGCCATGGTTGTTCTTTTGTTTTTTTTAACCAACACAACAGCTGTACAAATCAAAGATAATACGAAGAACGTCTTTAATGCCATTTAGAGAAATAATAATAAAAAATATAGACAGCAATTGCCTTAAATAAAAATGTGGAATTAATGACTGTGCATCAAAGATTGTATGCAACAAGACACATATGTGCATTATATAGCAGTAAATTAATTAATTCCAATTCTTAATCATCACTCACCTGATACTGACTGCTGCTGATATATCAACTCCTAGGGGGTGCGGCCGGGGCAAGGAGGCAACAAAATGTAAATTCTGGGCATCAAAGACACGAATGACGCCATTAGCACAACCAATGAAAACATGTTCTTCACCTACAGCCATTCCAGTGGCATTTTTAGCCTGGAAAAGAGAAAAAAAAAAAAAAGAATAAAGCAAATATAAAAGAATATTATTCTCATACAAAATAGATAGATTTTTTAATGATTATTTTAATTAAATATTAAATTAAGCAGCTGACATCATCCTAAAATAAACAACAAATTGGATTAAAAAGAAAAACAAAATATGACTGCACCCTGTCATACTATTGTGATGGAAAAGTATGCCTTATAAGGTTGTGGTATGTATTGAGTTAATTCCCCTGGCAAAATGGCAGTCTGGAAAAGGTAGATTTACACAGGGGGCGCTGTTTAAGTTATTTGCATAGGAATAGTTATAAGATTATTATGGCCAATCATTGAGCTTATCTAAAAGAAATGAATAAAACACCAAAAGTAAAATGGAAAATAGTAAATAAAACAAGAACTTGTAAAACCTGGGATGACCCATGCCCTTTATGCCTACACGAAAAACTACACATCATTAAATTTCTAAATAATGAAAAATTATTAAACCATAGGCAGGAGTTAATGGTTTTTTGCCGATATTAACAAACTTTCGCATTAAATAATTAGCATAAAAAAAAAAAAAATATCCCATAGCTTAATAAAAGTCTTAAAAGCTTAGCCAAATCATTAAATAGGAAAAACCCTTTCTGTAGTCGTCAAAAAAAAAAAAAAAATTGAAATTCAGTGCAATACGGTTTCTATATAAAACACACACTTGAATAAACAAATAAATAAATAGATAATCAGATGGACAATAATAAAACACAATCCTCCCGACACATAACGTCTTGTAGGCGTGCCATAAAAATATCCCGCACTGGGAACCAACTAAAGGATGACGGCCAACATTAGCCTTGAAAGAGATACCCTACCTTAGCAAAACCTCTCAGAGGATGATGAATCTATAGATAAGAATTAACTCTCTGACCACTTAATGAAGAAAACCAGCATAGCCACCCCCACAAAAACGAATGTTATGACGGATCATGCGAAAAACACACGAAACTAAAAAGATAGCTTATTCCAAAAAATTTCGCTTTTGAAGATGAAACGAGACTAAACACCTCAATTCAACTTAATTTTAATAATTATTTGGATGATTTCGCTCTCGTTTTTGAAACATGAGAACTCTTATGTAGTGAAGGAAATCATATTTTAAACAAAAATTATTATATATATATATATATATATATATATATATATATATATATATATATATGCTCATGAAATAATTGAGCTCTCAGATTAGAAGGGGCAATTTATAAACAGTGGCTGCTGCTGCTGCTAATGCAATGCTTTTTTCTATTTGAATTGAGCTCCCCTAGCTACTGATGTCGTTCACAAAGTAAAAACATTAAAATTTCCTTCCACTCTGCTGCGCGACAATAGCTTGGTGGTAGAATCTTTGACTGAGGCCAAATTGGTTGGGTTTCAATCCTGGCTTGAAGCAATCAGAGATCTATCCATATTGATGAGCTGTGATACAGCAAAACAGCTGTCTGTGGATGACTATATATATATATATATATATATATATATATAATTTCAAGATGCAGTTCTATGATGTCGTACATGACCATGTGAGAGAAAGAAATGTTATCAACAGAACCACGTGTTTAGATGCAATGTAATATGTTGTGACTAGTTTGAAATGTAATTTTGTTGAGTGTGGGTTGCTTTGTTTTAATGTATATGGTCTCCAATATTTTAAGGTTCTTTTTACTGTGTGTATGTGGGACAGTTTTTGCCTATTTTCTCTCGAAATTAAAGCCACTATACGAAACTTAGAACAGCTCCTGATCAAACATCATAGACATATGTTGTTTGTTATATTTAACAATATATATATATATATATATATATATATAAAGAAAAATATACGGAAAAAACAAACAAAAATCCTACTATGCAATTATGCTGTTTTAATATTAATATAATGTCAACATCGGACGTTTCAGTCTAGTAGACCATCTTCAGGAAATATTCATAAAACATAATTAACATTAGACTATATTTAATTCAACATGAAAAGACGATGGACATAAGAGTAAGACTAATCAAAACAGACAATTGAAATTTTTTTCAAGATCAGCATTCGTTTCAATATGATCACGTCAAGCGTCACGTGGGCTGAAGTTGTGAAAACGTATTCCTAAAATATAGTATTTTGAATGAAAAAGGAAAAGAATTTTATTTTAATCTAAAACTTATATGTACGTTTGTCGAGCATTAATCTTGCTAGAAAAGGGGAAATATTAGAGAAGCCAGGTCTAGTATTCTTTGTTTTTTCCGTATATTTTTCTTCATACTGTCGGATCTATATCCATATATTTGCTTATATATATATATAGGCCACCCAGAGTGAAGAGGGAAGCCATCCTTGAATGAAGATGACCATTGTGAAAAAGATGGATCCGGCAGGAGTTTAACAGTACATGCCTTCATAAATGATGGATCTATAAGAGATCTCAAACAAAACAAAAAAACTGAATATTTTGCATGATTTTCATTGAATGCTGTCAAATTACATGACAATACTTGAAATGTTTCAAAAAAATGTATCTTCATTGTAAATTTGGATTAAAATCTTAAATCTTTAAGGACACAATTGCTCAAATGTACTCATAAGTTTAACATGCTTACAGTCTTTGAGTGCTTGAATACACCTATCAGGTAGCATTGTATTTCAATATAAAAATTAAAACTAGGCACCAGATAGCTACAACTTTTTGAAAATCTACAGTCTTTTACAACATTGTAGATTTTTCAGGATTAAATTTCTAAAGTTGTAGGAAAGGATGTGTGTGTGTGTGTATATATATATATATATATATATTTGTGTGTGTAATGTACTGTAAACTTTTGCATTATTAAATGTTAGTTTTTCTTTGTGGGATATTTTTATTGATTATTTTTTTTTTAAATTTGTTTGACTAAAGGCTTAAACATATGTATTATTAGCAGTAAAAGTTTCATTAATGTGTTAGAAATACCTAAAGAAACATTTTTTGTAATGTGTTGTAAACTTTTATATATATATATATATATATATATATATATATATATATATATATATATATATATATATATGTGTGTGTGTGTGTGAGAGTAAAGAAAAGGGATGGATTTTTCTTATTGATTCAACAGATTTTTCTAACGTAAACATTATTTTTAGTGGATGCTCATACTTGAGTAGAAACTCAGTTCATTCATTATACAGTATATTTATTTATTTTTGTCCACTGGCCTGAATATTCAAGAATTAAAAATTATTAAAGAAAAATATGAGTTCTCTGTCAGGATTTGAACCCTGGCAGTACAAACTGCCATTATATTCAATGTGCTTTAAACTGACTGACCATGGTGTGCATTGTCAATCAAACAATTTTGAATCGTACCTTATAAACGTAAATCTTTTCAAGACTCTTGAAATCTTCATATCTACTAGGTTTTGTATCTTAATGTAAACTAAAGCAATTTCTAAAGAAGTGATACATTTTTATTTATTACTTAAACATTATTTTTAATGGATAATTGTATTTGAGTAGATGCTTAGTTTATTTATTAAACAGTATATTTATTTATTTTTGTCTACCGTCCTGAATATTTGAGAAAACTTATTAAACAAAACTATCACTCACTGACAAAAATCTGCTTGATCAACAACGCACCATGTGGCTGGGTCTGTCTAAAGTATGTCAGATCTAACAACTGTTTCTCCGGCCACGGGAGATGCAGGGTCACAACATAGTGAACCAACTTTCTTAGCTGCAGACTTAGCAATTGATTTAATATACTCTTTCAGATGAAAATGTTAGTCCGAGAAAGACTATTTCTTAGTCTTATTTCTAATCAATTCTGTTTCTATCATGTATGATAATGATAGCTTGAAGATTTACAGTAAAAATCAAATAAAATTAACATTAACAAAATATTTAAACTCACACGCGCAAATGCACACACACATTATATACATACACACACACAAAAAAATATATATACACAAAACACAAAAAACATATGCACACAAAAAAAACATACACAAAAAACACACAGACAAAAATATAATTATATACACACACACAAAAACATAATTACACACACAAAAACAATTATATATACACACACAAAAACAATTATATATACACACACACACACACACACAAAAACATAATTATATACACACACAAAAATATAATTATACACACACACATACAAAAATATAATTATACACACACACATACAAAAATATAATTATACACACACACACAAATATAATTATATACACACACACAAATATAATTATATACACACACACAAATATAATATATATACACACACAAAAATATAATATATACACACACACACACAAAAATATAATATACACACACACAAAAATATAATATACACACACACAAAAATATAATATACACACACAAAAATATAATTATATACACACACAAAAATATAATTATATACACACACAAAAATATAATTATATACACACACACAAAAATATAATTATATACACACACACACAAAAATATAATTATACACACACACAAAAATATAATTATATACACACACACACACAAAAATATAATTATATACACACACACACACAAAAATATAATTATATACACACACACAAAAATATAATTATATACACACACACAAAAAAATATAATTATACACATTATATACACACACACAAAAAATATAATTATATACACACACACAAAAATATAATTATATACACACACACAAAATATAATTATATATACACACACAAAAAAATAAAATTATATACACACACACAAAAAATATAATTATATACACACACAAAAAATATAATATATACACACACACAAAAATATAATTATATACACACACACAAAAATATAATTATATACACACACAAAAATATAATTATATACACACACACACAAAAATATAATTATATACACACACACACACAAAAATATAATTATATACACACACACACACAAAATA